GTGGTCGTGAGGACATAAATGAGAAATTAACCCAAACCCGAAAAATCGCGCCTGGAGAAGTCAAAAGTAAAGACAATGCTGATTTGTTTTTATGATTCCAAGGGTATTGTCCACAAAGAATTTGTTTCACCCAGCTAAAACGTTAATGCGGTATTCTACCTTGGAGTTTTGAAGCGTTTGGTGCGCCGTATTCGACGTGTTCGGCCCGAATATCGCGAAGATGGAAGTTGGCGTTTGTTGCACGATAATGCGCCGTCTCATCGATCGACGCTTGTGGCCGATTATTTGACCAAATATCACATTCACAATAAACCACTCTCCGTATTCACCTGATATGGCACCGTGCGACTTCTACCTTTTCGGAAAAATGCATTTGCCGATGAAAGGAAAGCGTTATGCAGACGTGGAGGCCATTCAAAAGGCTTGCACCGGCATACTGACGGCCATACCGGGTAACGAGCTAAAACACTCGTTCGACATGCTTTTGGACCGTGCAAAAAGCTGTATTAAAACAGAAGGAGACTATTTTGAATAAAATTAATTCATTTTGCCGATAAAACCATTTTATCTGTCTTTTTTTAAAGTCCTGGAACGCACCTTGTAGAAATTAGTTTAATAACTTAAATACGAACATAGTTCTGATTTGTACAATAGTATAATACAAAAAAGTCAAAAGTTTTAGTTTTTCAAACGAAAGCTACAGTGACAACCAATAGGAATGACGTGATTTTGACAACTAGTAGAGGCCATGTTTTAAACGGATTTGTGTCAAATTTCGTCAATGTATCGAGTAAGGTTTGCTATTTTATCATGTCACATTTCACTTTGGTACAGCGCTTGGAAATTGTGAAAGATTATTACGTAAATTTACGTTTTTGAAAAGCATTGAAAAAACGTTCATCGAAAACTCATCTCATCATCATGATGCCCAATTTTGGCTTAATGGTTTCGTGAACAAACAAAATTGTCGCTATTGGTGTGCGAATGGTGATATGATGGGATTATTTCTTTCGAAAAGAGGCTTTAAATGCCGACTTTTATACCGGACTTTAATGAAATCGACCCGGCCGATCTCTTTTCCTACAAGACTGTGATCCGCATAATCTTTCACGTCTTAACATGGACACATTGCCTGCAAAGTTTGTCGCCTTATTAATTTGGAGAAATGGCCCAATCAAATGGCCGCCAACGTTCGAGGAGCAACATTCAGCGCACTATAGCCGAAATTCCAGCCGAATTGCTACACCGGGTCATCGAGAATTAACGTAAACGGTGCCGTGGTGGCCATTTGGCCGACGTTTTGTTCCAATCATAAATGCCATAAAATTATCTGCATAACAAAAAAAGAAATCCCAGTTTGAACAAATTTGAGTGTTTTATTTCAGATATATGAATTTTAATGTAACTTTCACAAACACAATTATTGAAAATATGAAGCATAAAATGAAATGCACCACTTAGGGCTCGTCAATATCTCGAAGTAGTACAAAATATGATCCACTGGCTTTGAATATCTGAAATACAAAACAAAAATATGAACATTCGAGTAGTTATAAGAAAGCGAAAGGGATATTTAAAAATCATTCACGCCTAGTCTGACTGAAATATTTTTACACAATATGCTAAAGAAAACACTCTCATATAATTCGCATAAGTATTACATATAATAAAGCGCTGGAACATGTCGCACTTTAGCAGTTTAGAGCAGAACCGTTATTTGGGGACTGGGCGTTGCTACTATCATTGCATGAAATTTTACAATGCAATGCTATGAAAACTTTTGGTAGACCTAACAATTTCCCTGTCCAAAAAAAAGTGTGACTCACAGTATGGTATGATTTTGATTAACTTTTTGAGCTAATAACCAATTTATTGTGTATATTGCGTTGAGGTTTACGACTTTCTAGGTAGTAACACAACGGCAAACTATTATAGTAGTTGTTAGCGACGATAATACTGATACTCTAACTGATGCGATATTCCGGAATAAATTCGATAAAACCTTGCCTAACTGTTTATTTACATGCTTAATATATGTTTTTACATTTAGGTTTATATAGACTACTAAAACTATTTATTACTCTTCCTATTAGAAAGTATTATATATTTCATGAGTCCTTGGTTCATCAATAACCCCTATTTGAACTTACTGCCAGCTCATTAGAATTGAGTGAACCTGTTATCACATATGGTATTCAATCTATAGTGGTAAATTGACAGTTTAGATTTAAGACCCATATATAAAATTCACTCCAAGAGTTGGTTTAAATCCTTATCTACGTACATTTGTCCATCTCATAATTCGTCTACATCGTGTAGAATACTTCTTTCAACAATTGAGCGTAGTTGTTATATATTATTATTATAGTATAAATAACCATTTCATTAATTAGTTCAATATGCTATTAAAACTAATGCTGTCATCGTCAGGAATTGCGGCAAGATTTTAAACGCCAAGTAATAGCTATGATCTATGGTGGTAATTTGTATAAATTTGTTTCTAACATCAATTAGTCGCATATAATTCACAAAATAAAATAATCAAAATAAAGCCAGTATAAAGTAATGTTTGAAAATAACAAAATAAAAAAAACAAGGGGCGCAAAATCCATTGCATAAATATAAGGGAAGTTGGTATGAAGCTTTTAAGATATGAACACATACAATAGAAGAAAGGACTGCGCCCGCTTAATAAAACTTAGAACACCATGTTTCCAAAAATATCGTTTTTTGTGTAATTGGTCCCGTCATCCAGACCACATTGATGTACGTTCATAACCCTATATCTACCTCGACTAACTGAAGGTTTTACAATCAACTTTTAGCTCCTTTAAACAGCAACCACCCTGGGGTTTAGCAAAAAAGATAATATGTACAGAATAATGGATGTGCAAAGTGCAGTTATCATTTACTTACACCCATCAAAGTAGCTAAGGACATTACTGTGAACCAAGATATTTGGAAACAAAATTTTTTATTGGAGCGCATAATGATCATTTTTAATTTCTTCTTGAAGTCATCTGTTTCGTGGTACCACTCACAGTTGAAACAAGCTAATGGAATCTTTTCCAGCTGAAAACATTAAAATTTGAAATTTAATGATGATCTGTACCGTGTGATAGGCAATTACCTCGTTGGCCAGGAACTGTCCGTTAACGTAGTGCATGCAATCACCTGTCAAAGCAGCGCATAAATACATTATCATGCGAATAAAAGTAACTTTATTTGATTCCTACAATAAGGTATAAGTATGTAGCTGGAGTATATATGATATAGGAATAAATGAAAAATTGTTAATTTCAATAACACTAACCAAGCCGAAGTTCATCTCAAAGAGTACAAAGCCGTAAATCGCCAAACTATGAAGAAATTGGGAAAGACAAATGTGCCGAAAAAACCGATTGACGTCGTTGATGAACCTAAAAACCCATATTTATTTTATCTTAAAGAATTTAATTACAGGAACATAGTAAATGCTTATGGTGAATATTAGACTGCTTTTTTTTTTGAACTATTTTTTTTTTTCGATCCCATGGTGAAATTTTGTTGGAAATACCAAAAAAAAAATTCCCTAAAAATTTGAGACTTTAATTTTAATATTAAGTACTAGACCTAGGCCTGTAAAGATTTCCCATATAAAATACACGTAAAAATTGATTTTTTTTCTTTTTAATTTTATATTTCAGCAGCAGGTGATGGGATTATCTCACCCGTCATTAGGTATTCCTCAGAATTGAACGGTCTACAAAAGTCTCCATTGCGGTAAAGTTATAACTTGCGGTAAAGTTATAAACAACACTAGCTACAGAATTTGAAAATTGTAAATAACAAAATTGTAGGAAATTAAATTTGGATTAAAAGTCTTTGGCACCAAATCGATAGTGTTAATACTCTTTGAGATACAGAGATTTTAAGTTGAAGTGGTATGGAATTCTTAAGTTAAATTGTTAAATAAATTAATTTCACTATAAATTGTCATTTAAATCACCAAATATTTATATTTTACATTGCAAACGATTGAAAAATTGTATTATTGAACATTTTGATGCTGAAATAAAAATTTTTTTTTGGACATTTTCAAATTTTTTTTCCTCTTACTAAAAATTTTATGTCCACTCTCTTCCGGTTTTTATTTTATCTGTTAATCATCTACTGCATTTAAAGTTTTTATAAAAAGTGAGATAAAAATAAGCAAAACAAAGATGGGATGATTTGTACTTCTTCACTCTTTGTATTATGATACTGATAAATTTTTGTTTACGTAAAATACCAAGGCATTGTATGTTATTACTCGACCTCACCTGAGTTTTACAAATTTGCCGTTTAATTGCAGCGCTTTCTTTGTTATCGCGTTCGAGTTCCGCGAGAGTAAGAACAAAGCTTCGCGACTACTGAGCGGCCTAACGTCGTTAAACGTTTTTTGCATTAAATTTGAGGTTAGGTAAACTAATTGTGCTAAAAAAATGTGTGAACAAGATAATAAAATTATTTACCATTATTTAATTGAATGAATTTTTTTTTTTAATGAAAATTATACTTGAAAATAGTCATTTTTATTAACAACTATTTATTTTGATGAAAAATTCATAATTTATAATAAAAAGCTGATAATTTAACAATTAAGCTCAGAAATCCATAAAAATTCCATACCACTTCAACTTAAAATCTCTGTATCTCAAAGAGTATTAACACTATCGATTTGGTGCCAAAGACTTTTAATCCAAATTTAATTTCCTACAATTTTGTTATTTACAATTTTTCTGTAGCTAGTGTTGTTTACGAGATAATTCCAAAAAAACGCGAATTTCATGGAAAAATTAGGTTTGGGGGCCCGTACTACCCCGCAGGTGCAAGTTATAACTTTACCGCAATGGAGACTTTTGTAGAGCGTTCAATTCTGAGGAATACCTAATGACGGGTGAGATAAACCCATCAACTGCCGCTGAGTTATAAAATTTAAAAAAAAAATCAAGTTTTACGTGTATTTTATATGGGAAATCTTTATAGGCCTAGGTCTAGTACTTAATATTAAAATTAAAGTCTCAAATTTTTAGGGAATTTTTTTTTGGTATTTCCAACAAAATTACACCATGGGATCGAAAAAAAAAAATAGTTCAAAAAAAAAAGCACTCTAGTATATATTGTATATATGTATATCCAATAATCAAAAGTCAGGCGTCATTACTAAATTCAGACTTAAGTTTTATGTGGCATTTTAGTGCCTTTCATCATACCAACGCATCATGTACTAGTACGGGATAAATAACACCTGTAAAGAGCCAAAATATCATTTGGGGTCGTAGACCCCACTTTGGAGAAATGGCTGAAAGACAGATTTATGTTGGATATAACAAGGGCTCTCCCCGGATACGGATTTTAACTAAAAATTGGTTTAGTTCACTACAGTGGTGAGCGCAACACAATTTAATTATAGTATGGGTACCTAGAGGAGTTTGTCTTCGAAGAGTTTGGCTCGTTTTCAGTTTTAGACAAGCAGGGCCAAATATATTTTTCGACAAACAAACACCCGCCGCTTTGTAAATATTTGTGAATGCAGGAGAACCTGAAGCGTCTCTTTGTGGATTTATCATTTGTTCGAACGTGCTCTTTAATATTCTTTCTTTAGGTTTTTACTATTTCCTGACTCGTTCGGAACCCTAAATTCGATTTATATAGTACCGTTATGGTGCTTTATTTGAAGAATGAATGAACTTACTGACTCCTACTCAGTAACAAGTTTTTCTGTCCAGCCAACACAAAGTGCTTTGTGAATAATCTTGTTGTATTTCTTTAGTCACTCCCTGCAATTTTCTTAGCATACCAAGTTTTTTCAATATATAACCATAGTCACATATATCCACCCTAAATAAGTTTTAAACTTGCAAATAAACATTAGGAACTACCCCTTCTGCCTTTAATAAATATCTGCCTTTAAGCCCTACTCAAGAGTTCGCTGATGTTGTACTATGCAGTAGCGCAAATATTCTACATGTTGCGATTTCGGAACAAGAGTTGACGTGGACCTCAACAGCATTAGACATAACACCTGGACCAATCCACAGCAATGCTTACAAAGCACCATAAAGCAACCCTGGAAGCTAATGGCACCTGTAACAGATGTTAAAAAAACAAACGTTTTCTTTAGATGTACACAAGTTTTGGATATGACTTACTCATGCCGGCGACCAGGAGCGAGCATGCGCCAAAAAACATATCCAGTGCGTAATACGGAGAACCCATTACCTTATCTAGAAACATCGGATAGCCAGTGAATGCTGATTAAAGTAAGAAATACATTTTATATTATTGAATTATTTAGAGCTTAATGTTTACATACGCAGGATATACACATAATTTGGAGTGCCCTGTAAATAATTATATAAGTTTTTGAAGAGTGCGTAGAAGAAGTAGTTGGACAGAATGCAGATGCACGTTCCTAAAGTGAATAGTAGTTGCCTCCTCGTCTGTTTCCAGTTGGTATCCATAATTGCATTAATCTCCTTTTTCAGAGTGGTTTTGATTGGCATCCCTAGCAAAAAATATTTGTTTGTAAAGGGTCTCTACAAAACACTTAATGTGACACTTATTCATTACTTTAAGATAATTACCAGTTTGAAAGATTTCGATCCTCTGCAGTAGTTCATGTGTTTCAGCTTTCTGAAGCAGTTTATAAAGTATATGCTGAGAAAATAACAGGTAAGCCATTTTAATTAAGCCAGTCGTTGTTTGTAGCGCTGTGGTAGAAGTCTTCGAAGTTAAGTAATTTATTAGTTTTTACACAAAATGACAAGTTGCCAAACAAATCTGTGTACTATATCACTGCGTAAAGTGTTACATAACTATAGTAAACCATAAAAAAACTTGTACAGGGAGATGGTTTGCCGTTATTATGTAATTTAATAATGTTATTGAAATTTATTTTTAAAAGCCCCACAGGTATTCAATGGGATTGAGGTCTGGGCCCTCGAGAGAATGCAGCTGCACTTATTTCATGTTTTACAACAACGATTCTTTAACCATTAAAACAGAATGCTTCCGGTCGTTATACTGAATAAATGGTTTTTTAACATTGCCTAGGAGTCCATTCTTTACATAATTCCTTCGATGAAAATAAGGTTACCGACGCCATTTGCTCTCGCTGCACCCCTAGTTTGCTTCCATTGCACCACACACCACATAATGCAACCTCCTCCATGCTGACAGTTTTATTTAATTTTTTATCTTGTAGGACTTAACCCTCCCTACGCCATAAAAATCGTCGGGCATCGGTTCCAAATAAATTAAATTTGGATTCATCGGTAAAAATTGCAGAATATAATAAACGTTTCGAAATATTTATATTCGACAATTGTGGCTTGTTTCGTGGTGTATACGCATTAAAATCAGGTGAAAGCAAAAAAGTTCCTAACAGTTTGAGGTTGGAGTGTTGCAATAAACGCTTCCTCCAAATCCTTGGAATTAGCGACAGCGGATATTTGAAGGTGTTCCTTGATACTCCGAGCAACTTTACTTTCAGCCCGAGGCGTGCAAATTTTTTTAATCAATATATAAATTTTTAGTGCCTGAAAAAAACCTTTTAACGCATAAATTTTCTATTGCAAATTAATATAAAATTTGCTAACTCGTCATCTATTACCTCGGTGGGCTCTATAGACAGAGAATAAATTTCGCTATACATTCAAATCTACTATAAATATCTCGAATTATTTATGCTGTTTATAAAACTGTGGAAAACCCGTTATAATTTGGTACAAATTAATGACTGGCCGAGTTAGAAAATGTAAAAGTTAAGAATTCTTCTCTAAGCTTTATTAGAAATTGAGTAATTAGTATATAAGTACATATGTATTTCAAGATATTTCTACTCACCTCAGCTATCAATGGAATATCGCCTTTTGCTTGTTTTATCATTAACCAGTGCGGATATAGAGCGATACAACTTGTAATTATAAACAGAATATTGATGCTGACAAAAAAAATCATTACCTATTAGTTATGTTTACATAAATCTTAGAAATAGCGAATTGGTCATAGAAAATTAAGTAGTATTTCTAATAAAATGAAGGTGACAAAGCTCTTTTCAGAAAAAAATTATGTATAAGAAAATGCTTTTCAGTTTCCATTTTATGTATATATTTTACTTGATGCTATGAATTTTTAATGATTCAAGAATTTTTACTTTTATATTTTTAGAAATAAATGAGAAAAGCAAAAGATAGAACATGATTCAAGAATTTTTACTTTTATATTTTTAGAAATAAATGAGAAAAGCAAAAGATAGAACATCAGATGGAGAAGTATTTTCTTAGTCTGCCTTTACATATGGCAGTTTTTCTTGTGACTGCTGTAAATTTGCTTGTACTTATATATTAACTGCGTTGGCAAAGCTAGAAAACGAACAAAAATTGTACTGACTGATTAAGTAAGAAATTTAGTTAAATCGAAATATTGCATGTAACGAAGTAAACCACCAGAACCTGTCGCTGTTGACAATAATAACAAAAACTTCTAATGTAGGCAATTTCTAGTACCTTAGAACTGACATAAATACCGAAAATCATATATAACGTAGAGAGAGCTCGAAAGGCGAAATTCATGGCGACGCTGTCTTAACTTTTCAACTTCTATTCGTTATTAGAATGGTTACACACTTGTGACTAGCGCGCTAAGGAGTACTCAGGCACGGTCGAGAATCTCTTATATACATAACTGAATATATTGTGCTTTATGTGAAACTCACATCCTCCACCATTCTTTGAGATTCGTTTGAGCATTTAGGTTAATACCGATAATAAATGATATTCTCTTCAATTCCCTTATCAGCAAATGATTGCGAACTCTCAACGTCTTTATTTCAGTTATACTGTACATAATTTGAGAGAGTTTTTGCTTCAACTTTTAGTACAGAACTCACTTAGGTTTAACACCGTATCTTAAACTGATTAAAAATTGTGTGCTCCCATATTTATACATACATATTGGTAGTGGGTAACGTTCAACAATTCAATCGAGCTTTTCTAAACCAGAGCACAACAATCTGTAATAATTTCAACGTCAACTTCGCTCATAGTATCATAATGTGAAGAAATATCCAATATTTTATTAAAAAATTGTACAGTTGGTAGACATATTGTAGCACTAAGTATTAATGTCTATCTACTTAGCTATGAATACATTTGTTGAATAACAGAGAGATATCTCTAAGAAAGATAATCATATCTGTCTCCCAACTGTAAGAATGTCTTATTTCTTTTTAAAACATAAGATATTTGCTTGGGTTATTGCAGAATTTAGTAATATTATAATTGTAAGAACACACATTTTGCTGTGTCAAGTTTGTAAAAATCGATGTCATTCGAATTTATACGCCCTTAGCTTCGCTTTGAATAGTTCCAAAGTTTGGAATGGTATGAATATCTTTCTAATGCTATAATTTTCCCACTAATTCTAGCTTTCCTACTTGGAACGATTATTTGCTACGTTCGACAAATATTTATTAATTTGAAAACGAATGGAGAATCATAACGGTAAATTACTTAATTATACGATAAGCGTACTGGTCTCACTAGTTTTTAAGAACAAACTTTACAAAATTACATTACGGTATGTTACCACACTAGACAAAGTATGATATCCTTACCGTCAAAGATGGGCTATTTCACAAATTTTGACCTTATGTTAAACTTTGTATTTAAACAAGTAAAGAGAAAAATGTTCGCCGAAAATCTGAATAATAGCCCCACAAAATACCTAAAAGCGTATTTTGAGAAGTGATCTTTGTTCGATTTCCTCAATAATACGTAAACTTATTATCATCGTCTTCGCTAAAAAAGCATTTCTGGAGTTTCTTGGAGCGTTAAAGAACAAAAAGTTTTTAATATGTGTATAATGAAAACACTGAAAACAGTTAATACGACCTTCAGATCGAGTAGATAAGATTTCAAAGATTTCTAAATACTGGCCTCTACAAAATACGGAGAATATTCATTTTAACTGGTGTTAGAATTTGTCTTGCAGATATTGCTCATACATATATTTAAAAATTTGAACGTTTTGTTTCTAGGTAGAGTACGCTAAGTACCATATTATAGTTGTGTTTCAAATTGCTGGTTTCCTTTATAAATAATTATATAATAGTGTGAGAAAACTAAAAAACTCGCTCTTAAGCACAAGAATCTACAATGGGAAAAATAATTCTTATTAAAAGCTGACAGAAATAATGAAAGAAAAAGTAAGGTAAGGCTAAGTTCGGATGCAACTGAACATTTTTTACTCTTGCAACGTGCAAAGATCAAAGCCGGGGAAATACATTCAATTGTTGGCAATATTAAAAAATGTAGGAAAAGGATTAAATTTCTTTGTTCGACGAAATCGTGAATGGATTACAATTAAATTTGGTATCAGACTCAGTTTTATTACTATATCAGAGACTCAGTTTTATTATTATATTTTACTTCGCGTCAACGAAAATTATATTAAAATTATCCTTAAATGAGAAATATGTGACAATTTAATATAATGAGTTGATGTAAAAATGTCAACCAGAGAATCGCAATTCATTACAAAGGTTGATCCATTTTAGGTTCTATACATTTTTGAAAAAAATAAATACAGAAAATTAAAATATAATGGGGAATGCTTATTATCATTCGAAAGAACATTCTTCGGCATTTTTATATTGAAAATTAGTTCCTTCAAATGTTGGTCGCGGTTATGTCTCAGATGGTCCATCCTTTGAGCCCAATTTTCGATGACTCGTTCGAGCAATTCGACTGGTAACTGGCGAATGACACGCGTGATGTTTTGCTCCATGGTCTGAATCGAAGCGGAATTGTCCGCATAGACATTCGACTTTACATATCCCCACAGGAAAAAATCTAGTGGTGTGATATCACACGATCGACCGGACCAAAACGTGAAATTATCTGCTCACTGAAGTGTTCTCTCAATAAATCCATTGATTGATGCGATGTGAGGGAAGTGGCGCCGTCTTGATTTTAGGTGTAAAATAGTCGGTTATCACCGGCATCATTTTTGAAGATATATGAACCGAAGATTCCACCGGCCAACAAACCACAGTTACCCATTGTTTAATGAAAAACACGACAGCTTGGCACGATTCACGCGTGATCTGTCAAAAAAAGGATATTGAAAAAAGTACTTCTACATGGATTACCCGTTATTAGGCATATAAGGTTTAGACCAAAGTCTACACCAATTTCGCTCATATTCAGCAGTAAACCACATACCTTCTAAGAAAACTTGCTAATTTAATTTTATTAAAGTATACTCGTACCACATTGGTCAGGTGGAAACTCGGAAACTCGGAGGCAGTTAGAGTGATGGGCTAATTGCATTAATTTTGACATTGCTCAGGTATACCGGAGAACATACTTTGAAGTAATAATTTTCTATATAAATAATACTCAATGACCGAAGTATTCGGAATAAAACTTATTAGATTTTAAAATTTTTTGCCAATACCACGTACTACTAACATACCACAGACTAATAAATAGCTCCCAGGGTTTCAATAAGGTACCTCACATACCAGCACCAAAAGTTCGAAAATTCTGATATTAGTTGTATATATTCGGCACCTGGGGGCTTAAACAGTTTTGGTCCGATTTTGATCATACAGTGACATACCTTAAAGCATTATTCCTGCAGAATTTTATCCGGATACCTTCATTGGGTTGGCGCAGTTGTAGTTTGACTTCGTCCATTTTCGCACTGTGTTATAGGAATATCAGGGGAATATTACTTACCGAATTAAGTTGAAATCGGGGCAGCAAGTCTCGAAATATGTGATTTCACCTTAAAATGGGCGGTGCCACGCCCATCGTTCAATTTTGACACCTGCTCCTAGAAGGCCTTCATTTGCCCTTCTGGATGTAAAGTTTAATGTCTTTGACGCATTTAGTTATTGATTTATCGCGCTTTAAGTTGTCTTTAACAATACCGATATATTGAGAGTGGGCGGGGTTATCATAAAATTTCATAAATTTTTACAGTGTCGGTAGGGATGCTTAAGTTTTTGTTTAATGGGGTTTGTGGGCGTGGCAGTGGTCCAGTTCCGCCTATCCGATTATGCCCATCTACGAACTAGTACTCACTTTTTGGCCAAGAAATACGTGTACCAAGTTTCATTATATATATACAACCCTATATATGACTCGATTTGTTTTAGGTGATACAAACAACCGTTAGGTGAACAAAACTATTATACTCTGTAGCAACATGTTGCAAGAGTATAAAAAGCGTAGGTTGTTTGATATACGAAAACAAGTATCACTGAAAAAAGTCACAAATATACATACGGGTGAATCTAATGAAAGGGTATTAAAAGCAAACTGGTTTGAATTTAATATCGCCAAATGTATTAATTAATCATCGTTGAACTTACCGCTATACCATTCCGTATTAAGGGGCGGACTTTGGTTATTCCTTTTTCGACCTTTCGGCTCCATCGATTTTTTACATGCCCAAAAATAAATTTCTGCCCGTCCGTCTGTCCGATTTTCTTTGTATATACGAACTAGTCCCTCAGTTTTTAAGCTATCGTTCGGAAAATTTACACCTGTCTTTTCTTCACTAAGATGCGGCTCACTATAGCATATAGCTGCCATACAAACTGAAAAATCGGAATCAATTGCTTGAAAGGGAAACATTTTTGTTTGACGTTATCTTCGAAGAAATTGTTTAGAACAGATCACTATATCATATAGCTGCCATATAAATTGAACAATCGCAACCAAGTTCTTGTCAGGAACCTTTGTATTTGTGTAGGGTATTATATCTTCTGTACGACCGAAGTTAGCAGTTGCTTTTTTTTTGGTTTTAATTTTGACACATGCCGCTAAATATATAGAAATATTCTTTATTTTATTTTTGATTTGTTTTTCCTTTTGATATGAAGTCACTTGTACATACATATACGAGGATGTATATGATTAATAGAAACGTAATCAAAAAAAGTAAAACCAATATATTCCTTTTTAAAGTTATAATAAATTTGTATTTATATTACAAATTATTCACAAATATTAAAACTACTATTTTATTGTAACTATGTACGAGTATATGCATACGTGGTTACGAGTACCCCGCCAAACTATTAGAAGCTGTATACAAATGTTTAACCGCCTCTTTAAATTAAAATAGTTACTATCATTATTTAATATAGTTCAATCAAAAGCATAGATCATCAAAAGAAAAATTAAATGAATAATATTTTTTTAATAGTTTATCCTCAAGTAAATGCATAAAACATTTTTTGGTCGTTGTGATGTTTTTCATGTAACTGTTTATTTTTAAAATTTTTATTCAAATGCTTGATTTGCTACCTCTTTTTTACAAGTATAAAGCCGTATTGTCTCTCTGATGATCCGCCAGCTTTTCGAATTGCTAACTCCAAGCGGTTTCTTACTATGCTTTCGTACAATTTACCAATCGTGTTGAGCATGCACAGAGATCGATATGATGAAGGTTCTTCAGGTGGCTTTTTCGGTTTTGGGAGTAATATCAAACGCAGCAACTTCTATGGGTCGGGAAAGACGCCTTCCAATAAACACGCATTGTACATTTTAACGAACAAACTGGGTCTTAAAGTCATGGCTTCTTTTAGAGCTCTATTTGGTATACAATCTATTCCAGGCGCTTTGGAGTTTTCAATTTTTTCGCGATAGCCAATAGGTCTTCTTGTGTGACTAATAGAGGGGAATCTGTGACATCGCTTCACTTAGCATAGGAAATGGGCTCATGGCCTGGAAATAATGCCTCGACGACTTTCCTCATAAATGATGCGTTCTTAGGTAGATGCGCCATATTTTGAATTTGTAACTACGTTCACCCATTTCTCGCCTGTGGGCTTATCTTACGTTTTAAGGCTTTTTTGTTGGTGGCAAATGGCCTGATATCTCACGTAGT